TTATATTACAGATAATGACATTGTTACATTGTATTACAGATAGTGACATCGTTACATTATATTACAGATACTGACATTGTTACATTATATTACAGATAGTGTTATTGTTACATTGTATTACAGATAATGTCATTGTTACATTGTATTACAGATAATAGCATCGTTACATTATAATACAGATAATGTCATTGTTATATCATATTACACATACTGACATTGTTACATTATTTAACAGATAATGACATTGTTACATTATGTATCATATAATGTCATTGTTATATCATATTACAGATAATGTGAATGTTATATGATACTACAGATATTGACATCGTTTCATTATATTACAGATATTGACATTGTTACATTATAATACAGATATTGACATTGTTATATCATATTACACATACTGACATTGTTACATTATATAACATATAATGACACTGTTACATTATATATCATATAATGTCATTGTTATATCATATTACAGATAATGTGAATGTTATATGATACTACAGATATTGACATCGTTACTTTCTATTACAGATAATGACATTGCTACATTATATAAGATATAATGACATTGTTGCATTATGTTACAAATATTGACATCGTTACACAATATAACAGATAATGTCATTGTTATATTATATAACATATATTGACATCGTTACATTTTATTACAGATATTGATATCGTTACATTATATTACAGATACTGACATTGTTACATTATATTACAGATAATGACAGTGTTACATTATGTTGCAGATAATGACATCTTTACATTATATTACAGATAATGACAGTGTTACCTTATATTACAGATTATGACAGTGTTACATTTTATAACAGATATTGACATAGTTACATAATATTACAGATAATGACCTTGTAACATTATATTACAGATAATGACAGTGTTACATCATATTACAGATAATGACAGTGTTACATTATATTACAGATAATGACATCGTTACATTATATTACAGATATTGACATCGTTACATTATATTACAGATAATGACATTGTAATATTATATTACAGATACTGACATTCATTCATTATATTACAGATAATGTCATGGTTATGTGATATTACAATAACTGACATTTTTACATCATATTACAGATAATGACATTGTTACATTATATTAGATATATTGACATCGTTACAATATATTACAGACAATGTCATTTCTATATAATATTACATATATTGACATCGTTACATTATATTACAGATAATGACATCGTTCACTATATTACAGATAATGTCATTGTCACATTGTATTACAGATACTGACATCGTTCAGTATATTACAGATAATGAAATTGCTACATTGTATTACAGATAATGACATCGTTACATTATATTACAGATAATGTCATTGCTATATAATATTACAGATATTGACATCGTTACATTTTATTACAGATAATGACATTGTTACATTATATTACAGATAATGACATTGTTACATTATATTACAGATAATTACATTGTTACATTATATTACAGATAATTACATTGTTACATTATATTAGAGATAATTACATTGTTACATTATAATACAGATAATGGCATCGTTACATTATATTACAGATACTGACATTGTTACATTATATTACAGATAATGACAGTGTTACATTATATAACAGATATTGACATAGTTACATAATATTACAGATAATGACATTGTAACATTATATTACAGATAATGACAGTGCTACATTATATTACAGATAATGACAGTGCTACATTACATTACAGATAATGACATCGTTACATTATATTACAGATATTTACATTGTTACATTATATTACAGATAATTACATTGTTACATTATATTAGAGATAATTACATTGTTACATTATAATACAGATAATGGCATCGTTACATTATATTACAGATACTGACATTGTTACATTATATTACAGATAATGACAGTGTTACATTATATAACAGATATTGACATAGTTACATAATATTACAGATAATGACATTGTAACATTATATTACAGATAATGACAGTGCTACATTATATTACAGATAATGACAGTGCTACATTACATTACAGATAATGACATCGTTACATTATATTACAGATATTGACATTGTTACATTATATTACAGATAATTACATTGTTACATTATATTAGAGATATTGACATCATTACAATATACTACAGACAATGTCATTTCTATATAATATTACATATATCGACATCGTTACATTATATTACAAATAATGACATCGTTCAGTATATTACAGGTAATGTCATTGTCACATTATATTACAGATACTGACATCGTTCAGTATATTACAAATAATGATATTGTTACATTGTATTACAGATAATGACATTGTTACATTGTATTACAGATAATGACATCGTTACATTATAATAAAGATAATGACATTGTTATAGTATATTACAGATAATGACATTGTAACATGATATTACAGATAATGTCATTGTTATGTGATATTACAATTACTGACATTTTTACATCATATTACAGATAATGACATTGTTAAATTATATTACAGATATTGGCATTGTTACATTATATTAGATATATTAACATCGTTACAATATATTACAGACAATGTCATTTTTATATAATATTACATATATTGACATCGTTACAATATACTACAGACAATGTCATTTTTATATAATATTACATATAATGACATCGTTACATTACAATAAAGATAATGACATTGTTACATTGTATTACAGATACTGACATTCATTCATTATATTACAGATAATTTCATTGCTATATAATATTACAGATATTCACATCGTTACATTTTATTACAGATAATGACAGTGCTACATTATATTACAGATAATAACAGTGCTACATTACATTACAGATAATGACATCGTTACATTATATTACAGATATTGGCATCGTTACATTATATTACAGATAATGACATTGTTACATTATATTACAGATAATTACATTGTTACATTATATTAGAGATATTGACATCGTTACAATATACTACAGACAATGTCATTTTTATATAATATTACATATATTGACATCGTTACATTATATTACAGATACTGACATTGTAACATTATATTACAGATAATGTCATTGTTATGTGATATTACAATTACTGACATTGTTACATCATATTACAGATAATGACATTGTTACATTATATTAGATATATTGACATCGTTACAATATATTACAGACAATGTCATTTCTATATAATATTACATATATTGACATCGTTACATTATATTACAGATAATGACATCGTTCAGTATATTACAGATAATGTCATTGTCACATTGTATTACAGATACTGACATCGTTCAGTATATTACAAATAATGATATTGTTACATTGTATTACAGATAATGACATTGTTACATTATATTACAGATAATGTCATTGCTATATAATATTACATATATTGACATCGTTACATTATATTACAGATAATGACATCGTTACATTATATTACAGATAATGACATCGTTACATTATATTACAGATAATGACATCGTTACATTATATTACAGATAATGACATTGTTACATTGTATTACAGATAATGACATCGTTACATTATATTACAGATAATGTCATTGCTATATAATATTACAGATATTGACATCGTTACATTATATTACAGATAATGTCATTTCTATATAATATTACATATATTGACATCGTTACATTATATTACAGATAATGACATCGTTCAGTATATTACAGATAATGTCATTGTCACATTGTATTACAGATACTGACATCGTTCAGTATATTACAAATAATGATATTGTTACATTGTATTACAGATAATGACATTGTTACATTATATTACAGATAATGTCATTGCTATATAATATTACATATATTGACATCGTTACATTATATTACAGATAGTGCCATTGATACATTGTGTTATCGAAAGTGACATTGATACTTTTTATAACAGGTAGTGACATTGCTATATGATATTACAGATATTGGCATCGTTACATTATATTACAGATAATGTCATTGCTATATAATATTACATATATTGACATCGTTACATTATATAACAGATAATGACATTGTTACATTGTATTACAGATAATGACATTGTTACATTATATTACAGATAGTGCCATTGATACATTGTGTTATCGAAAGTGACATTGATACTTTTTATAACAGGTAGTGACATTGATACTTTTTATAACAGGTAGTGACATTGCTATATGATATTACAGATATTGACATCGTTACATTATATTACAGATAATGATATTGTTACGTTGTATTACAGATAATGTCATTGTTTCATTATATTACAGATAGTGACATTGATACAATATATTACAGATAGTGACATTGATACAATATATTACAGATAGTGCCATTGATACATTGTGTTATCGAAAGTGACATTGATACTTTTTATAACAGGTAGTGACATTGATACATTGTATTACAGATAATTACATTGCTAGTTTTTTACAGCTTCTGCTTCGGTCACATTGTGTTACAGTCATTGCTTTTAATACAATGTTTGCCATTAATTGCTTAGGTCATACGTTACATATAATGTTAATGTTTCATATAGTTGCAAATACTGATATTGATATACAGTATTATGGAGTGCTACTGTTACACTCTCTACATGTTAATGTTGCACTGTATTACAGAACGCTAGTGTTACATTGCATTACATACATTGTTTTTTTGTATTTACATCATGCAACAGAAATATTAATTGCTGTATGTCTCACACACAAATATTGGTACAACGTTGTAAGTATTATGTCAACGTTGTATCAAAGATGGTTTTATTATTACGATGCATAAAGTACAATGCAATAGCTTGAATTTATTTCCATTGTTTCCAGTGACATTACTACATTACATTACTGTACGTTTTTTATTACGTTGTATGTAATATGAATGTTACCTTCCATTGCCATATGACATGACACTGTGACCTTGTTTTTAAGTTGGGCTCCCATCCTGATCGCTTTAGGCAGCTTGGGAGCCGTCATCGGTTGTTGTTTCTGCTGTTACCGTTGCTGCTGTCGGTCTAACACCAGGATTGGCGGAGCGGTGGTCATGGCTCCAGCCGGAGGTCCGAGTAAGTCCCTTCGATATAATTTCCCTTTCTACATTACAGCACGTTACTTAAGCTCTATATCGTTGCTGTTGTCATATGATAAGTACTAAATATCTTTTATTGCAAACAATTTTTTATTTGAAAAGTTTAATATTTTTAGTAGGAACCATACTTACCATTTTCTCTATATTCTACACATTTGACGGAACACTTCAGACATGTATGTCTCATTCATTTGACCTTATAAGTACCACTGATGAAGGCTAGATGGAGGATATGGCCAGATTGAACAGGAAAATTTGAACTTGATTAGCTTTCTACATCTACAAACATTTTTAAAGATTACCCATGCACTTCATATGTTGAATGAAGTTCATTATTATGATTTACAGGTGTGACGGTTGTAAACACAACAAACACAATGACCCAGCAACCGCCACCGATGATGACGAGCCACGCAGGATACAACCAGGGACAGCAACAGAATTACTAGTCTATAATACCACATTTGTGTGTTTGTATATGTGGATTAAATAACAAACATAAAACAAATTGAAAAACACAATCCAAAACTGTTGCTTACGATAATTCCACTGTGCTTACTATTAGAGCTATTTTCGTTTCAGTTCTAGAATTTTCCGTTTTGTCATTCGTTTTTACAAGTGTCTTCCACATACTGTGGGATTAACCTTTATATGTATTAATGCCTATTTTGTTTATCGTACGCGCTTTTACTTCTCAAACGTTCTGTAAGGTAAATGTAGATTAGCAATAAGGAATGTGTATCTCAGCTACCGGGTACTAGTAAAATTATTATACAATAAGGGATGTGTATCATAGCTAATGTGTACTAGTTACAATATAATACAATAAGGGGTGTAGATCTCAGCTACCGGGTATCGCAGCTACCGGGTACTGGTAAAATTATTATACAAGAAGGGGTGTATATCTCAGATACCGGGTACTAGTAAAATTTTTATACAATAAGGGATGTATATCACAGCTACTGGGTACTAGTAAAAGTATTATACAATAAGGGGGGTGTATCTCAGCTACTGGGTTCTAGTAAAATTATTATACAAGAAGGGGTGTATATCTCAGATACCGGGTACTAGTAAAATTATCATACAATAAGGGGTGCGTATCTCAGCTACTGGGTACTAGTAAAAGTATTATACAATAAGGGATGTGTATCATAGCTAATGAGTACTAGGTACAATATGATACAATAAGGTGTTTATCACAGCAACTCGTTACAAGTAAAATTATTATACAATAAGGGGTGTGTATCTCAGCTACTGGGTACTAGTAAAATTATTATACAATAAGGGATGTGTATCTCAGCTACCGGGTACTAGTAAAATTATTATACAATAAGGGATGTGTATCATAGCTAATGTGTACTAGTTACAATATAATACAATAAGGTGTTTATCACAGCAACTCGTTACAAGTAAAATTATTATATAATAAGGGGTGTATATCTCAGCTACTGGGTACTAGTTAAATTATTATACAATAAGGGGTGTATATCACAACTCCTGGGTATAAGTTAAATATTATTTTTGTATTACTGTGTTTCAGTAAAACTACGGTCGAATTAAGCTGGAAATCTCTTATTTTGTGTTTTCAAGATAAAATAATTGAAAACGATCTATAACGATGCTCTTTCTGTTTAGAAAGGGATGTATTTGACATATAATTCGAATTATATGATATTTAGGCACGATAATACTTTATGAAGTTTAGAATGAATTCATTCGATATATAATCCTTGATCTAAAAACGGAAGGATTTAACTGTAAATGAAAATGATTTTTTATATTTTTTGTAACAAATGTTATGTATTTTACTTGGCACTATGATACTTTTTTTGCTTTTGAAACTTTGTTGACAAATCCACTTGGATTTTATCTGCTTCCTCATCGTAACAAATATCTACCTTTCAAGGATTTTGAAGAAGTCTTATTTTCTAAACTTTTATATTATTTCATTTAATTTGATGGTGTGTTCCAACACCATATTGTCATATTTTTCAGGTAAAGGTATTCCGTCCAAATATATTTTAAACACCAAATTGCATGTATTTAGGTAAGACATACGAATAAATATTAAAATATGATCGTCTTTGTAGTCTGTCCTCTTGAAAAATGTTACGATTAGCTCTTGTCGGTCCTAAGGTACAGTATCGTAATCATGTCTTGTCTGTCCTATGGTACAATATCGTAATCATGTCTTGTCTGTCCTATGGTACAATATCGTTATCATGTCTTGTCTGTCCTATGGTACAATGTGGTGATCATGTCTTGTCTGTCCTATGTTACAATGTGGTGATCATGTCTTGTCTGTCCTATGGTTCAATTTCGTAATCATGTCTTGTCAGTCCAATGGTACAATGTGGTGATCATGTCTTGTCTGTCCGATGGTACAACATGGTGATCATGTCTTGTCTGTCCTATGGAACAATGTGGTGATCATGTCTTGTTAGTCCTATGGTACAAAGTGGTGATCATGTCTTGTTAGTCCTATGGTACAATGTGGTGATCATGTCTTGTTAGTCCTATGGTACAAAGTGGTGATCATGTCTTGTTAGTCCTATGGTACAATGTGGTGATCATGTCTTGTTAGTCCTATGGTACAAAGTGGTGATCATGTCTTGTTAGTCCTATGGTACAATGTGGTGATCATGTCTTGTTAGTCCTATGGTACAAAGTGGTGATCATGTCTTGTTAGTCCTATGGTACAATGTGGTGATCATGTCTTGTTAGTCCTATGGTACAAAGTGGTGATCATGTCTTGTTAGTCCTATGGTACAATGTGGTGATCATGTCTTGTTAGTCCTATGGTACAATATCGTAATCATGTCTTGTCTGTCCTATGATACAATATCGTAATCATGTCTTGTCTGTCCTATGGTACAATGTGGTGATCATGTCTTGTCTATCCTATGGTATAATATCGTATTCATGTCTTGTCTATCCTATGGTACAATGTGGTGATCATTTCTTGTTAGTCCTATGGTACAATGTGGTGATCATGTCTTGTCAGTCCTATGGTACAATGAGGTGACCATGTCTTGTCTGTCCTATGGTACAATGTGGTGATCATGTCTTGTTTGTCCTATGATACAATGTGGTGATCATGTCTTGTCTGTCCTATGATACAATGTGGTGATCATGTCTTGTTAGTCCTATGGTACAATGTGGTGATCATGTCTTGTTAGTCCTATGGTACAATGTGGTGATCATGTCTTGTTAGTCCTATGGTACAATGTGGTGATCATGTCTTGTTAGTCCTATGGTACAATGTGGTGATCATGTCTTGTTAGTCCTATGGTACAATGTGGTGATCATGTCTTGTTAGTCCTATGGTACAATGTGGTGATCATGTCTTGTTAGTCCTATGGTACAATGTGGTGATCATGTCTTGTTAGTCCTATGGTACAATGTGGTGATCATGTCTTGTTAGTCCTATGGTACAATGTGGTGATCATGTCTTGTTAGTCCTATGGTACAATGTGGTGATCATGTCTTGTTAGTCCTATGGTACAATGTGGTGATCATGTCTTGTCTGTCCTATGGTACAATGTGGTGATCATGTCTTGTTAGTCCTATGGTACAATGTGGTGATCATGTCTTGTTAGTCCTATGGTACAATGTGGTGATCATGTCTTGTTAGTCCTATGGTACAATGTGGTGATCATGTCTTGTTAGTCCTATGGTACAATGTGGTGATCATGTCTTGTTAGTCCTATGGTACAATGTGGTGATCATGTCTTGTTAGTCCTATGGTACAATGTGGTGATCATGTCTTGTTAGTCCTATGGTACAATGTGGTGATCATGTCTTGTTAGTCCTATGGTACAATGTGGTGATCATGTCTTGTTAGTCCTATGGTACAATGTGGTGATCATGTCTTGTTAGTCCTATGGTACAATGTGGTGATCATGTCTTGTTAGTCCTATGGTACAATGTGGTGATCATGTCTTGTTAGTCCTATGGTACAATGTGGTGATCATGTCTTGTTAGTCCTATGGTACAATGTGGTGATCATGTCTTGTCAGTCCTATGGTACAATGTGGTGATCATGTCTTGTTAGTCCTATGGTACAATATCGTAATCATGTCTTGTCTATCCTATGGTACAATGTGGTGATCATTTCTTGTTAGTCTATGGTACAATGTGGTGATCATGTCTTGTCTGTCCTATGATACAATGTGGTGATCATGTCTTGTCTGTCCTATGGTACAATGTGGTGATCATGTCTTGTCTATCCTATGGTACAATATCGTAATCATGTCTTGTCTGTCCTATGGTACAATATCGTAATCATGTCTTGTCTGTCCTATGGTACAATGTCGTTATCATGTCTTGTCTGTCCTATGGTACAATGTGGTGATCATGTCTTGTCTGTCCTATGGTACAATGTGGTGATCATGTCTTGTCTGTCCTATGGTACAATGTGGTGATCATGTCTTGTCTGTCCTATGGTACAATGTGGTGATCATGTCTTGTCTGTCCTATGGTACAATGTGGTGATCATGTCTTGTCTGTCCTATGGTACAATGTGGTGATCATGTCTTGTCTGTCCTATGGTACAATGTGGTGATCATGTCTTGTCTGTCCTATGGTACAATGTGGTGATCATGTCTTGTCTGTCCTATGGTACAATGTGGTGATCATGTCTTGTCTGTCCTATGGTACAATGTGGTGATCATGTCTTGTCTGTCCTATGGTACAATGTGGTGATCATGTCTTGTCTGTCCTATGGTACAATGTGGTGATCATGTCTTGTCTGTCCTATGGTACAATGTGGTGATCATGTCTTGTCTGTCCTATGGTACAATGTCGTAATCATGTCTTGTCTGTCCTATGGTACAATGTGGTGATCATGTCTTGTCTGTCCTATGGTACAATGTGGTGATCATGTCTTGTCTGTCCTATGGTACAATGTGGTGATCATGTCTTGTCTGTCCTATGGTACAATGTGGTGATCATGTCTTGTCTGTCCTATGGTACAATGTGGTGATCATGTCTTGTCTGTCCTATGGTACAATGTGGTGATCATGTCTTGTCTGTCCTATGGTACAATGTGGTGATCATGTCTTGTCTGTCCTATGGTACAATGTGGTGATCATGTCTTGTCTGTCCTATGGTACAATGTGGTGATCATGTCTTGTCTGTCCTATGGTACAATGTGGTGATCATGTCTTGTCTGTCCTATGGTACAATGTGGTGATCATGTCTTGTCTGTCCTATGGTACAATGTGGTGATCATGTCTTGTCTGTCCTATGGTACAATGTGGTGATCATGTCTTGTCTGTCCTATGGTACAATGTCGTAATCATGTCTTGTCTGTCCTATGGTACAATGTGGTGATCATGTCTTGTCTGTCCTATGGTACAATGTGGTGATCATGTCTTGTCTGTCCTATGGTACAATGTGGTGATCATGTCTTGTCTGTCCTATGGTACAATGTGGTGATCATGTCTTGTCTGTCCTATGGTACAATGTGGTGATCATGTCTTGTCTGTCCTATGGTACAATGTGGTGATCATGTCTTGTCTGTCCTATGGTACAATGTGGTGATCATGTCTTGTCTGTCCTATGGTACAATGTCGTAATCATGTCTTGTCTGTCCTATGGTACAATGTGGTGATCATGTCTTGTCTGTCCTATAGTACATATGGTGATCATGTCTTGTCAGTCCTATGGTACAATTTGGTGATCATGTCTTGTTAGTCCTATGGTACAATGTGGTGATCATGTCTTGTCTGTCCTATGGTACAATGTGGGGATCATGTTTTCTTTTTCCTATGGTACAATGTCATAATCATGTCTTGTCTGTCCCATGGTACAATGTGGTGATCATGTCT